CGGCGCCAGAGGGGGAACGACGGACTGGCGGGGCGAGTGGTTCGGGACTCTGCCTTGGTTGCTGGTTGCTAGAATTATTGTCTACCTGCCGCTGGAGTGTCCGGACCTGGGATTCTTGTTGACCACCTTGCGCACGATACATATCGAAGACTTGTAGTTTATCCTATCGCGGGAGCAAAAATGTGTTGCGTCTTTTATTTCAATCCATCGTTGCTCACAATACATATCGATGCACTCGGAACCATCTTATTGATTCCTGAAATAATACGTATCGACTATCGAAATTTCAACTATAGGCTATATTGTTGGACCAATATTCGATTAGCCTAAGTATTGTCTAGGGTGTAAGGGCCACACCCTCGGCCCACACTACATGGGCCACCATTCCTCGTGCTCTTTCGATATCGCCGGATGCTACATCCTGGCACCACATATGCCAACGGCACGAACAGAGAAAGGGTAAGACTTCAAGGCCGAAACGAAGAAAAAAACATGAGCCCCAATCGCCTGACAGGTTCGGAACATTATTAGTATTTTGTGTCTTTTGTCTCTACGGCGTAGTAGCCGAAAACTGAAGTGCATCTCGGTCCGTCGACGGCCATGTGCATGCAAATCGCTTCAGACATCACAATACAACAATCCCACTCCCGCACTCCCAACAAGAAAAACGTCTTGATCCGTCACCCTCCCATCCCTGCACGAGCTACGCGACGCCGCTTCAAAAAATATCATATCTACAGCATCTACAATTCAACAGACAGCGCACGCAGCGAGCAAGCAGAGCAACGGCTGCACGCACAAGCCAATCGAAAATCCCCGTGCCTTTTGCCGAAAGGACGTGTGCGCTTGTGCGCCGGTCGTGTTCGCGATGACGCTTGCAGCATCACCCTCTGTTCACCACGCAGATCGCAATCGCTGCCACTATTGCACCCCAACCTGCTCTCCAACGTTACGAGGCGAATCATTCGCTGCTTGACGGCGAGTGTCTATTGCGAAGAGGCCTTCTATCGAAACCCATGCAACCTCAGGATGGCCCCCAGCCACCTCAAATCCTCGGGGCAATTGCACCGGACTTGCGCGCAAGGGTTTTGTTTGGTGTTCCGGAAGCTAGAGCGAGGACGACCTTAAAGAGACTCTCGGTTTCGAGCATGTCCATCTGTAGTCTACCACCTCACTGCAACTAGCGTCTCCCCATCCCATTACTGCCTCCGCCCCGCTCTCCCACCCCTTCGGGCCATCATATCCTGACCTCCTCAGCGTCCCACCGCCGCCGCGGCCGCCGCCACCTCAACTGCGACCCCCCCCGTCGCCGCGACCGCCGCCGCTCGCTGTAACACCGTCAACGGTGTAACGAACGTGCCGAAGCTAGGCAATGTCCAAACAAGAGAGGCAGGCAGAGGCAGGACACAGAACAGCGGGTGGGTGGGTGGACAGTCAAACACCAATCGCTACCAGAAATACACAATAGAGAAAGAAATGGTACGTAGGGAGAGGGAAACAATCCCTGGAGCGCACCCGGATCCCTGGCTCTGCAGCCTATGGAAGCAGCCCCAAAGAGAAGGAATAGATGGGTCGTCAGCCGATATCGAAGAAAGGAGCGGTACACCAAAATGTTCTTTCCACGTCTGTCTCTCTTCACTCTCCCTCCCCCTCCATTCAAACCTCCGTTGTCTTGGCAGGCAGCGCCTGACCATTGAGTAGATCTGTTGCACGTGAAAAACAACTACATGTATGTGTGCATCTTATAGTGCTGGGTTAGTATTGCGTTTGTCGGGCGAAACAAGGGGATACCTTACCGGAATGCAGTCTGCCAGGCGCGATTGCCAGACACCCGGCATTTTCGGAGCTGCGGTGCTTGGCTGGCAGCTACTACAGCTGTGCTAATGCCTTTAGGCAGAGAAGGGTTAATTTATCCCACTACCTGCACGGGTAGGCTTAATGAATGTGTCTCAAAGAGAATGCTCACGCCCCATCCGAATCATGATGCAACTCGGCGGACAGGCGAAAGGCATCCCATGCTATGGTACTCTTCCTGCTGTCTGGACCAACGGTAGTGAAGGTCCATCACAAACTTGTTTTCGGCTAAGTTTTGTCCGCCATCGAAAGGAGGTATAGACTATATGAGATGAACACAGGACGTGGATACAGAAACAATGGCTCCCCTCCGTCCACGTTCGTCGTTGGTGCTGTCTTGTTGGTATTGCTTTCCCTGTCCACAGGTTCGAAAAGCCATCCAGGGCTCTTCGCGGGAACGCCTAATGGTCAGCATGAAATATCGACCAAAAGAGGTCCAAACGGCAGGAGGGACGACCAAAGGCGCCGGACGAGACCCGAGAGGGAGTTCCAACTATTCGGAAGTGTCGAGACCGTCCAGGGTTTTCTGCCGAACGGTCAGCATGACCTTCCTATCTCAAGAGGTTGAAACCGCAGGAGGGATGGCTCAAGACGGGGGCCTTAAGGCGCCTTCGGCCGTCATCCTACGGTTTGGACCACTTTGGACAGGAAGGCCATGCTGATCTTTAAGTGTTCCCGCAGAAAACCCTGGACGGGTTCGAGACTTGCGAATCTGTGGACAGGGCGAATATCACCAACAAAACAACCCCCACGACACGACGTACGTCTGCATCCACACCCTGTGTTCTGTTGACAGAAAGAGAATCACGCGTGAGCGATGACAGCAGGAACCAATGCGGAGAAGCGGGGTATCCCCCCTGATACGGCTGGCTGCTGTGTAAAGCTTTCGATGCCGGGCAGGAGAGCAGAGCATCACGGGCCCTTTATCACCGCCCGATGGCGCCTGTGGGCAAGCGCTCTCTAAAGCTGCAAACAGGTCCGTTCGAGCCAAGCATTGGCGCCTTTGCGTGGGGGTAGGAATATTACATTGAACACGTACGTACGCATATTCATACCAAGTTTCCATCGAAAAGACGCACACCTGTCCTTCGTTACACGCCCTGATGGTGCTTCAAGCAAAGCCAATCGATGATGGCGGGTAGCAAGGCGACCAACCGACCGGGTGAACGGGTGAGAACAAGAGACTAGAGCGACTTCCGATAATGTGCTGGTGCTACTACAACACCGGTGACGACTGTTGGAAATCAAAGGCTTCAGGTTTGTTAAGACTGTGTAGTCAAGAACAGTTCTTTCCTGGTGTTTTTTTTGCTTGAGCTAGATTGCTCCGTGTTCTTTTCAGCGAACGTCAGATCTGCTGAAAAGCGGTCTTCATCAAAAACAAGACCATAGGTTGACGACGCAAGTCAGCAGCCTATCTGTCCAAGTGACCTGTGTACGGCGGTACAGAAGTGAGCAAGCAAGGTAACAGAAGCGTGTGCCCCACCTTGTTGACAGGTGTGCGGAAGTGCACTGTAGACAGCCGTGAGTCTACAACCAAATGAGATATTTGGTTCAAAGAGAAATGAAAAAAATATGTTGTTGCATGCAAGTTGTCTGTTGAGCTGGGCAGGAAACAGAGTGAGCTCCGGTGGGGGGCGTGCGCTCTGCCTGGTCAGCCTTTTTGTCGATTCCCGACGAAACTGCGAAGAAGCTCAGTACCAGTCCGGAACCGTTCCGGAAACCAAATTCCGTTCCACCAGACCAACATCACTGTTCCGGAAACGTTCCGGGAACCTTTCTAATCTTACTCTGGACTTTTCCTCAGAACGTTCCTGAGAACCGTTCTGGGAAAGTACGCCCGAACTAGGAAACATTCTACGAACCGCTACGGAATCTACCGCATCCATTAGTGGATCGTTGTAGATACCTTTCCTGAAATATTGTTCTTCAAGTTGAAGCTACTCCCTGATCAGTTTATTATACCGCATTTAGTGTTCCGTATCACGTATACTGAAACCGGTACGTTTTGTGCTACTGAAATCGTTCATGATGTATGTGACATCGTATAAACTGTGTTGTATTCAAGATATAATCTATAAAGCAGTCTTCATCAGTTGATATTGATATTTCTAACAAGACCACCCGGCCGGGCCACGACGGTGGCGTGGGAGGGAGGTAGACCTACAACAACAGCCAGCCAACCGAACGTTGGCGAAAAAGCAACGGAAACAAACTCCTCTCTAACTCACCGAAGGATGAAACCGCGAACCCGGTTGCGCTTGTCCATGAGCGCGCGACGCTCGGTAGGGCGGCACGTCACTGAGGCCATTGCCTCTTCGTACTGGGAGGCGGTGATTGTCCATCAAATATTGCCGTGTTCGAGGTTACCGCGCATCGCGCACAAGCACAAAGATGGGCGGGGAGACGAGAGAACGACTGAAAACAACAACAAGCTTCTCCCGCGTGCATGCATGCACAAGCACCACTCCACTGAAGGGCAAATCATATACACTTTCGTTCGCCAAAACAGCGGAAACAGCAGGAATTTGGAAGCGCATTCCGTTGTACAAAGTGCGGGAGACCCTTGATCGACGCTGGCGGTACACAGATCCGGGCCAGCACCTTCCACGACTGGTCCCAGATAACCGAGTTACAGGCGTTCGAGCGCACTTTCACCGCTGAAAATGTTGACGGTCGTACGAACGAGATGAGGACCGTGGGTCGCGCCGGCCGAAATCCGAGCTGTTCTGGGCTTCGCAAGTCGCTCAAGCCGTAACAGAGCAATAATCTTCAGCGGGACGAGGAGCCTTGACCGTGGCGTCTGCTTGCTACTGCGAGACTCCCCCAGGCCGCGTTCCACACGCGGATGACATCGGCCTGGAGACGTTCAACTGTCAAGGAGCACGATGAACACTAGACTACTACTGTAGTCAGTGCTGACTGGTAGAATAAAGGTCGTGCTTTTCAACACCAACGAGGATGCACTCGTACGTACGGTCCTCGAGTTGGAGAAGCTCTAGACGAGAGTCGGCGCTCGGCGCCTTTCGTTTGTCATCGCCTGGACTGCGCGTGGTGTCCTGGCCAATGTTGGTGCTGTTGCTCCAAGCCTGATCGGTGACCTGGTATTGCGAGTGCTGGAGGTGTCGGCCGCGACGGCGTTCGTTGTACCGTTGCCGTTTCCGACCACTTGCCAGCTTTCTCTTGGGCCAATCTTTGTTGAGTACGTTGCCGGAAGAACGTCGACCCATTGTAATCAGTTTCTCGCCAACGCTTGCCATCCTCTGCAGTCGTCCACGCTAGTCTTTGGCGTTCCTTCACCGAAAACATTGCCGTAGCACGGCCACGTGAGTCACGTGTTTTCACGATGCAACCAACAAGTTGACACCGATCTGCATGGCACTGCAATCGCTGAAACACAAGACGAGGCTTGCCGTGAAAACGAAAACGTAACATTTACTTCTCGCGCTGCCCGTCCCAATCCAAAGCTGTGCTTCGCGAACCACGATTGCTCGGTAGCTGTACTGGGGCATAGGAAATGGGTTGACAAGGCGGGAAGAGATATCGTTAGGATAGACAGACTAGGGAAGACATTTTTGAGCCACCTTTGGCAAAGTAGAAAGGAACGATTGGCCATCGGTGATCGGTCCTGTGGGAACAATGCTCCGTCCTCTCGAGGACACGTGGTCAGTGGTCTAACCGCTAAGGCATGCAAAACATAAGAGTACGCCCCCCTCCCCCCCGGTGTTTGCCATCGGGGTTCGGTTTTCGTCGCTTGCGCTCACTCCTTGCGAACCCGCACACGTTCACGACCCGACTCTCAGCTTGTGCTTTTCCCTATTGGAGATTTTGCGCACTCTATCGTTCGCCTTCCGCTTCTTCTAGGACTTTTTCTGACTTGCTTGCTCGCCTCCCCCGCTCGGTCCTTGCTTCGCCTCCGTCGCCCTCGCCTCTTGTCTCCTTACCTTCTCTATTTCTATCATGTCAAACCCTCCATCCAAACTTCCTTACGTGGTTCGACAGCTTTTCGATGTCAACCCCCAAGCACTCTTGGCTGTCTCCCTCGGTCCATTTCACCCGGAAGTGTTCATGTCCTCTGCCTACTTGTCCCCTCGCTAGGCAGTGCAGTCCCTCCCTGTCACAACAGTTCTTGAACTCTATCCTCGTCATGTCCCTTGGAATCCCAAACAGCAGCAGCTCCAACTTG